GATCAGACTTGTAGTGATCTTCCTGCTTACAACCTCCCAAGTGCTGGGATTACAGGCGTGCACCACCACACCTAGTCTCAATCACTTGTCTCAGTGCACCCAGGGTGCAGGGCCAGCATGGCAGGCCAGGGGATCAAACTCCTGGCCCCTGTGTCTGCCTAGGCAGGCACTTTAATCCGCTGAGCTATTTGGTTAGCCCTCTTCCTTTTAAATTAGCCTATCTGTATCATCCCATCTGTAAATCACTTTTTCAATTACTTTTGTTTTCAGACTGATTAACCCCCCCCTTTTTTTTAGTTCCCAGGTCAGTCCAGGTGACCTTGGATTAATAAATTTTATTTTGTGTGCATACATACACACATTCACACGCAGGCACATACCTAATCCCATGGGGGCAAGGATACAACAGGAACAGCAGCTGCAGCTGATTACTCTGACTAGAACAGGATCGGGGAGCCAGGCGTGGGGGCGCATGCCTGCAATCCCAGCACTCGGGAGGTTGAGACAGGAGGATCGCTGTGAATTCCTGACCAGTTTGAGATATAAAGTGAGTTCAAGGTCAGCCTGAACTGCATAGTTGTTAAGGTTTGTGTCCAGGTGTCCTCCCAAAGCCTCATGCAGTCTTGGGGTGGCTTCTGGAGTTTGTGATTAAGTACTGTGGGTATGGATGCTGCACCTGCCCTGGGGCAGGTAATTTGCATTACAATGTAAGGTGTGAAAAGAAGCTAGCTCCTGAGCTGCTGCTACCCTTCCTTTGCTCTCTGCTGTTTGCCCCCCACAATGAAAGCTCTCTGCTCCCTGCCCTGTGCTGCTCTGCCTTGGAGCCAGCTGAGTATGGACTGAAACCTCCAGTAACTGTGAGCTAAATAAACCTTTCCCTCCTTCACTTTGGGCATCGGGTATTTGTCCCAGCAACGAGAGAAGAGTAATTAAGACAATAGTAAGGCCCTGTCTCAATAAAAAAAGAGGTTTATTTTGGCTCACATTTTAGAAATCTTCGTTGTTGCATTATCTCAGCATAGCAGAAGGATCTGAGCAGAGGAAAGTTGCTCAAGTCATGGTAGACAGGAAGCAGAAAGGAGGAATGAGAGAGGGAGTGTAAACCTTTCCAGGCCACACCCCCAGTGACCAGTCTCCTCCAATCAGACCTCACTTAGCAACAGCAAACCACCTCATGATCCACTCACCTCCAAACACAGGAGGCATGTTAGATCTAAACTACCACAGGGTGGCAGTGGGACTCCCAAAGACTTCATTTTCTGTATTTAAATTTCTCTTCTACACTCGAATTTATTTTATTTTTGCACGAAATTTCAATGTAGGGACTTTGAAGTGAGCTACATTCCCAGCCTTTATTTTGAAACAGAGTGTTGCTAAATTGTCCAGGCTGGGCTCCAATTTGTGATCCTTCTGCCTCAGCCTCTGCGATCATGCCTAGCTTGATGTGGTGTTTTTAGTATCAGCAAAAGCTTCATGCTTTTATTTTCATTTAAAGATTTAAGGGGGGGAAAAAAGAAAATCTTTGATTTTTAGCTTCCAGCTGTTTTTAACATGAATACTCACGATTTGTACTAGGTTCTCTGAAATCAGTGTGAGCTTACATTTTAATATATATTTCACAAATTTTGTCTCCTTTGAATTAGTTGAAGCCATTACTGCTTTAGCAGTAGGAAGACAGAGTGCTACAGTACTTGATTCTTGCTGTTCTGAGAACTGAGACTCAAACTCCCAGTTGACTTCTAGTTGGGTATTTTTAGTCTACTACTCTACTCTACACAGCATTCCTACTGACAGGAGTCATTATACACTAAGAAACATTAACTGGCTGTGTAGAATGGTGCAGCTTCCCAGGACAGTCAAAGTTTAACTTCAAGAGATGACTCCTGGGCCTATTTATGCCATTTCCTGACTGCAGAGGACTAAAATGCTTTTAATCTTTTTGTTTCTTTGGATGAAGGAATTCCAATACAAATTGTACCTGTGCTTGCATATATTCCTTTGTCTTTCTAATCTGATACAAGATTTTTCTTTTAGAGTTTTGTTGTGTTTTTAGTGAATACATAATAGTACAATAGGGTACAATGTGATGTTTTGACACGTGTACTGTTCTTTGTGTCATAATCAAATCAGGGCACTTAGCAAACCTGTCACCTCAAACACTTACCATTTCTTTATCATTTCACCAGGCTCCTCTCTTAGGCTCTTGTTCCTGCAGTTCTGTGCTCAGGACACTTTCCTAGTTGCCTGTGATGAAGCTAGTTCTCCTCACTCCCATCTGTCTTCAGCCTCCATAGCCCTGTTGCTGGTTTCTAAATACATATTTTTAATATATGTACGTATGCTTCTTTGTCTTTTACCATTAAGGTAGAAAGTGCCTGACAACAGTGACTTTGTTCTTTTACTATTCAATTGGCCAGGCACAGAACCAGGCCCAGGGGCCCATCTGTAACAGGCATTCAGAAATTACCTATAAATAAACCTATCCATTTGTACTTTCCAGCCTTTTTTTTTTTTTAATGACACAGACAATAACACAAATTGCAGAAGCTGAGCTTGACTCTGTTACTGGAGATCTTGCCAACAGAAGAAAATAAACTTCTCTACCAATACTGGATCTTATTTGTTAAAGAAAAACTAGTGTGACTGATGGACAATTGTGCACATTAAAAATTTTTCCCCCAGTACTGAGGACTGACTGAGCCCTAATACTCTATATTTAACACTAATTTCGCATGGAGGACAACTACAAGGCCACTTTCATGCTTTTTCTTATTCCAGTTTTCTCAGGAAGAGGGCTGTGGGTGTGATAACATTTCAGATGATGGGCCAGGGAGGTAGCTCAGTGGCATAAGCGCCTGTCTGGTAAACATAAAGTCCTGAGTTCTATCCCTGGTACTGCAAAAAACCACAAAAAACAAACATTTCAAAGATGGAAAACAAAGGTTAAGGAGGTCACATAGCCTTCTGTTTCTTCCTGAAACAAGGAAGCATCAAAATTTATTATGAACATTCCCTTCGCTTCCTTCAGTACTTCTTTGGGTGACAAAAAATAAGGCAAGCGACTTTTGGGCTCCTGTTCCCAACTGTTGCAAAGTTCATTTGAATTTATTTATTTATTTATTTATTTTTTGTTGGATACTTGTTTAATAAAGTGAGGTTTATGTCACCAACATTAAAGAATGGTTATGCGTACAAAACAAAACAATGAAACATTTTAGGCTCATAGGAAAGGAAATCAGAAAAAGCACATGACTAACAGGAAACATGAGCTGGTGCACTCTGGAGCACCAGACTGCGAGCCAGAGGCTGGGAGGGCAGGGCCAACCCAGCTCAGCTTGGCTCGGCTCAGGCAGCTTCTCAATGACCCTCAGGACTGAGCAGCCAGATGTCAGAACCAGACTTTCACCCCAGATTTCAACAAAACTTTAAAATGTTGCCCCAAAATCAATTGAACAGAGCAAATGTAGGCATTTTCCAGTCTAACAGCATGCAAGCACATACTCTTTCCATGCCATGGATCCCGGCACACAGCATTAGCTGTGTGTACTGCAAGCAGCAGATGGACCCAGGGAAGGTGCCCAGGAGCTGGGCGTGCAGTGTGTCCATCCCCTGCATGTGACCTAGGGGACAGCACCTCAGATCCCACCATCTCTGGAGAGCAGCTGATCCTGTGACATCCATACAAATATTAGTGCTTCCCTTCCAGGGGATTTACATATAAATAGGCATAAGTAAAGCCCTCCCTACACTGAAGTCTAGGCAGCTGTGCTCAGGATGGATCTAGGGACTAACACCTTGTAGCTGTGCATGGGTCTCGTTGTAAGGAGCTTTGCCACGATGTGGCTCCACTGTAACAGCAGCACAGGATGCAAGCACAAAAGGCCGCACACAAAGCTAAAGCAGAAAACCATGATAGGTGGGGCTGGTGAGATGGCTCAGTGGTCTAAAGCACCTACTTAGAACAACCTTAGCAAAGCATAGGGACCGCGGTTCAATCCCCCACCACCACATGCCAGCCAGCCCTGCCCCCTAGTGGGCTGAGCTGGCCACACACACACACACACACACACACACACAAATAAATAAATTAACAAAAAACAACAACAAAAGAAAGAAAGAAAACCATGATAGGTTTGTGTTCCCTTGGAGTGTGGAAGAACTCATTTAGAAAAAAAAAAAAATATTCCCTATTCAAACCTTGGAAAAAACCAAGCACACCAACTGCAACTGTTCAGGCTTTAAAGTTTCCAAAGTAGCAGCAAAGGATGTTTCATAGAAAAAATGTACTTCTCTTTTTTAAAAATTTTATTTATTTGTGTGTGTGTGTGTGTGTGTGGCCAGCTCAGCCCACCAGGGGACGGGGCTGGCTGGCATGTGGTGCTGAGGCGTTGAACCGCGGTCCCTGTGCTTTGCTTAGCTTGTTCTAGGTAGGTGCTTTAGACCACTGAGCCATCTCACCAGCCCCGAAAAAATATACTTCTAAGAAAATAGTGGAAAAACCCTAAGAGGGTAAAGTATAAAAGTTTAAAAAATGTATCTTAAGATAATAGTGTCCAAAACATATAAAAGTTAATTTTTAAAATTTCACCTATCTAAATTTAAACCAGGTCGGATGTCGCTTGTGCTCTTGCCATCTTCCATGACAGCAGCAGCCCAGACACCAAAAGAGACAGGCCCAGAGCTGTGAGTTGTCAGTCAGCCCAGGGCTGAGACCTCAGGGTGCTCCCAGTTCCTTGAGCCACAGACTCTATGCTGCCCTCCTTGAAAAGGGAAGGCAGACCTGAGGAACTGCAACCTCTGTCGGTGGCCATCTGTCCTAGGACATTTTCGGAATCCACAAACAGCAGGGCTGGGCAGGGCAGCTTGTTGAGGGCTGTGAGAACTCTTCGTGCAGGAGTCACCTCTGTCTCTGTGGGGCTCCAGCTGTGTCCGAGACCCATCAAGGGGCCTCCTCTCAGGTCTCCACCAGGATCTCCACCACATGCTTCAGCTCAGCCAGGTCAGACTTGCCAGCTGGAGGCAGGAGGTGGGGCAGGTGCAGCAAAGCCCTCCAGCTCATCACAGAGGCCTGGCTTGGCACTGGTTATCATTCCGGTCAGCACAGTGTACAGGTCATAGTAAGAACTGTCCGTGTCTGAGAACAGGTCCTCCATGGAACTGGAGCTCTTATGCTCCAGAGCCTCAAATATGTGATCCAGCGACTTGTGGAAGCTCCCCCTGTTTTCTTGAGGACTGTCCATTTCCGAAAGGCTGCTCTGAGGGCTCCTGGGCTCCTCTGCTGAGTGGGCTCGTTGTACAAAGTATAGGGGTAGGCCTGGCAGGGGGCCATCCCGTAGGTCAGAAGCAGGGACCCCAGCTTCCGGTCCACTCACTATGCAACACAGGATCTCTGTGGACACCAGGCAGTCAAGTGGGGCCCGCCCAGTGCTCTGGGGTGCTGCCCCATGCCCCACATCATCCTGGGTCATCTCCTCCTGGACCTGCCAGATGGTGTTGGCAATGTGGACTGAGTGACAGAGGTTGGGCTCCACCAGCATGTGGCAGAGCTGGAGCTTGACTAAAGACATGTCCAGGAGCAACTGCTGCTGCAGGCTATAGGAAGGGATGGTGCTAAAGCTGGCCAGGGTACCCTCCTCATCTTCCTCCTGGTCAACACATTTCCTCTTCAGTCCTCGTGCAAACATTGTGTCCTGCTCTGTGAGACTGCCTAGCCATTCCACTCAGCGCCCTGGAGCCCATTGGCGCCCACAAAGAGTGCCTTTCATTCAAATTTAAAAAACACTCCTTTCAGCAGGAGTCAGTTCTTTAGGTTCTACCTAGATTGGTTAGTGATGTATTTTTATGTTCTCTAAATTCTGTGTACTGAGCTAAAGAATCAGTGGATTTGGGTCACTGTACTAAAAACTCTGATTATTCTTAATTTTATATAACTAGTAGCCATCCTCCAAAGTAGGCAATGTCAACTTCCACTTTTGGATGGGAAAATCAGGAAGCATTTGGGATCCAGAAATTAAATGGTGCACACTAAAGATTTCACAGAAGATGGAAAGACATCAAAGATTGGGCCTTGGCAAGGGGCATCAGCACAGTTCCTGGGGAACTGATGATGGCCTGAAAGAAGAGGGGAGCAAGCTGAGGCTCCAAGAAGGGCACCACTAAGAGGAGGCAGGCACTAAGAGGAGTGCAGCAGGATGTGAGTGGGGTGATAAATTCCCAATGTGCCTACTCTATCTCTCTGCTCTTACTCTCTCCAAGGACAGGGACACTAGGGTATGCACTCAACACCCAGAATAAGGCAGGCAAGGGTGGGGAGCAAATAACCAGCACAGAGGTTTGTGTGAGGAGAAGCTTAGGTTTCAGAATTTTGACCTCATCCCTTCCATCACAACAAAGTTCTTTTCTTTTTTTGGCAGAACTGGGGATTGAACTCAGGCCCTTGTGCTTGCCAGGGAAGTGCTTATTCTACTGAGTCATCTCCCCCCCCCCCTTTTTGGCTTTTAACACTTCTCACAATACTTATAATAAAATTATTTTCAATCTGAATTGGTTTTTTGTTCTGATTTCTCTTCCTCTTTCTGCATAAGAGTGAGAAAAGCCCAGTGAGGATGAGTTTGTGGACCTCTAGACCATCTGATATAACATTAAGTGTTCTAAATTCCAAAACAGAGCAAAAGCCATGGGGAGACTGTCAGAAAACATCTTTAGAGTTTGGATAAAGTTGAGATTAGCTCATGTTTTATAAGAGCTGCACCTCAGTGGAGATACTGTTTATCAGCAAGACACTCAGTAGAGTAAGCCCAGGAAGTGAAGAGGAAAACAAGCAACAGCAACCAGGCAGCATCTTTGTAGGTGACCATCTTAGTGATTTCTGCAATTCTAATAGCCTACAGTCAAATAATTTGCTTTATGTGATTTTAGAATCTTTAAATTAAATTAATTAGTTAATTAATTTGAGACAGGGTCTCACTATGGAGTTACGATCTGTAGTGATCCTCTTGTCTCAGCCTCTCCAGTGCTGGGATTGCAGGTATGTGTTACCATGCCTGGTTCCTGGGCTGGGCACAACATGTGGTACTCCAGATTGAATCTGGGACCTCGTGCTTCCCAGGCAGGCACTTAGAATGGCACTATAGGCTTCTGAATAAAAATAGTGATTGCAGGGAGATGGCTCAGTAGAATAAGTGCTTCCCTGGCAAGCGCAAGAGCCTGAGTTCAACCCCCAGTTCCACCAAAAAAAAAAAAAAAGGTGATTGCTTGCAAAACATCTTATTTACTGCAAATGCTAACAAACATAATTATAACAAGGAACTGTTTTATGAATGCTGTTTTTAAATGATGAGTAAAACTCAATTAAGCTTGGGGCTGGTGAGATGTCTCAGTGGTCTAAAGCACCTACTCAGAACAAGCT